CCAAGCCGAGCTGTGGTCACACTTCCAGTTGCAGTGCGGATGAATACATACTACATCTGCTACTATCAAGTATATACAAGGCCTAAGCGTGTTCTCCTCTGGGAGATGTGGATACGCAGCGCTGTGGAAAATCAACCCATAGCAATTTGCCCAAAGCTGCACAGCATATTAATGCTAGAGCTAGTTTTAAAACTCAGGGGCTTCCAACTTCCACTCCTGTGCTGATTAGGCCTTGCTGCTTCCCCACTGAAATAATGGGGGGGGGGGGTGCATTCTGAATGATAAACCAAACCATACACACAAAACCTAGCTCATCGAGTTTTGCTTTCTATTTTTTTCTAGAAATATGGAGCAAATGAGGTTACACTGTGTGATCTAATAACTATAAATGGCTAAATCTTTTTTTCAGTGCAAGTTCAGTTTTAATGTCCAGATGGAGTAAGCGTCACATAAATGGAGAACGAGAGTAGAACAGACAATCAAGTGTCAGTATGCGAAAACTCTTTTTAGAGTAAGATAAAGGTATCATCTTACAGCCATCACCTTTTCTTTAAAAAAAAAAATCAAATTTAGATCAGCTACTTTATATGTTCATAACTATGAGATCTAAGAGAATTTACTCTGACGCCTTGAATTGTCTAACAAAGATCTTATGTCATGTCAACTGCATTAGGATTAAAGCTACAGGAAACTGTTCCACTCACTAGTAAACTCACAAGAGGAGTAAGCTTGCTAACCTGCCATTTGCCCAGTGGATTCATTTTCATGATAAAGCTGAAAGCATACATGCTTACCCAGAAGAGTGAGAACTAGAGATGCTTATCTAGAGCAAAGTGATAAAATGCTAACTTTTGCAACTGAAGTGGCTTCCTAAGAGCCATTTGCTTCTAATTATGCTCATGTAAAGCATAATAGAATAGTAAATATATATACAGATAATTAATTACAAACATTCTGAGTTTGTTTCCCTAATTTTAAAATTCTCCTGTGGTTTTAATTAGGTGAGCTGAGACAAATGTGTTAAGAGACCTGTGGAACTGCTATTGTTTTCTGAAGCTCGCTCTCCTAAGGGCTTTTTCAAACTCACTTCTGCCCACAGCTATCATTTAACACTATGATGCACTCAAATCCAACTTTACAGCAGAGAATTCTTATTCTTTAACAATTCTTCTGAAGATGCTAACCTTTCATTCAGAATGCAACTATTTACTCTCTGAACACTTTTCTAACACTGGATCTCCTAAAATCCCAACCCTAGTTTTTTCAACAGGGCAATGCCCTGCTAAGAGTCTATGAACACACAAACAACTTTCCTTTCCTTTTCCTTTCCTGTGGGGGAGCAGCAATGTCCCTGAAATGGGCTGCTCTGAGGATACAAACGCAACTGCTCCAGTGTCTATCACAAGTGACCAATAATCACATCCACACCCCCATGAGTGCAGATTTCTGACTGGGGACTCCCACTAGCATCCTCTGTCTGCCACTCCTGCATCGCAGCAGGACTTGAGACTTGGAGACAAACTGCCTGCCTGCAGTGGGGTTAAGTGGGAGGGGTTTATGCATTGGCCAATCCCACACTCTCGTCCCAGCCAGCCAAATGACTAACTGGTACAGAAATCTGCAGCAAGCAGGGTCACTGGCTTGGATGCAGCTATTTGACCCATAGCTAGGAGCTAATTTGCCACTTTGAGAAGTTCTATTTCTCTGTGTCAAAGGATAGCCACCTTCACCATTTAATCTATGGCTGGGACTCTTTATCCATGGCTGAGATATGGTAGGTGAGCGCTAGGGCACATCCATACACTGTGGGCCGACATACTACACCTCTGGGGCCCAGGCTGTTCCGAGATCCTTCACACATTTAGCCTGTGATGGTGTTCCGGTACAGAATATGTGCTGTAGCTAATGTTGTGTGTTGTGTAGTGAGATTGCCTTCCTCTTCTTGCTTCGTACCCAGCAGACAGCAAGCTTTGGCGAAAGGAACAGAGTATATAAATCCTTCTTGCTGATACATTGGGTACCACAGTCAGGACTCTCTCAGTACCTCCGTTCTGGCACCTGCTGGAAACTGATTGCACCTTGAGTACACATGGAAATCAGTTCAACGCTCAGTGCTCCATGTTTGGTTAACTTTACCAATTAGATTAATTCAAACAGCACAGCATGTTGGTAATTAAAGATTATTGTTTTTCCAGACTCTGCATCTTCTCTCATTTTATTATGTTCAATAATCAACACTTCAGGAACTGCAAAGGGATGTGGGGGGAACAAAGCTGTTCCAATATTTTAAACTTACTGTAACACTAATGCAGTGTTTGGAAGGCGGGGGGAGGGGCAAGGTTCATTTTCTAATTTAAATCCATTTTTAAATGCAAATTAAGTCTATATTTGTCAGCTAGCTGGAAGAATTTCAAGGAATGATTGTAAATAGTGAGGGATTTATTTTTGGAGGGGATGGCGAGAGGCCTGGATAAACTGCTATATTTTTCTTTGTAAAGGATCCTAAACGGCTTGACAAAATGCCTCGATCTCCCAAGGGAGGAGGGGAAAAGACCTTTTATATACTACAGTAGAATTTCCTTCCTTCACCTAATGTTAGACAGACAGTTACACACAACTATTCTCACAAGAATTTGGCTGTGTTATATTCAATTTACACGTTGAATGAAAAATGCAATCCATTTCATAATTCAATTTTCATTGAGCGATAAACCCACCTGAGCCAGTTCAGAGCTGCTGAGGTGTCCGTCACTGTTTATATCCAAGTACTTAAACATGTCCTCAACTAACAAGCGCTTCTGGGATGTTCCGTCCTCTACAGGGCTGCTCAGCTGGCTGTGGTGATGAGCTTGAAGGTCCAGGAGTATGCTTTTAAGACGGCTGTAGTCTGCCATTGTGCAAGTGTCACCTAAAAGATAAGACTGTATTACTGGACCATGTATTTTTACCTCGATCTGTGTAAAGGATTGAACTTCTAAAGGGAAAAGTAAGGCACAATCAAAGACAGCCTGTCTGTGTCTGTGCAGATGTTCAGATGCTATGCTTTAAGGAGATCCTATAGTCATTCCCTGTTGTAATAGCTAGCATTTTTAATAAATCCGACCTTCAAGGAAGCTCTTAAACATGTTCCCGTACAGATTACAAAGCTCTGGTTAGCAGCTACATTACGCCTAATAATCTCCACCCATATTAAATTATATTCCTGCTATATATTCCTTAACAACACTTATAAAATAAATACAGACAGCCAATGATAAGGAAAAATAAATTCTAGCAAGTCTGAGTTTTCAAAGCTTTATGATCACAAATAAGTGCCACTCTAGAGCCCTGTACCAGGTGAAAGGTGGCATTGCCCTGACTAAAAACTGTAAGGCTTTTTGGCAAATGAGGCATGAAACACACAGTGACACTAAGTATTTTATCTCACTGGCAACATGCTACAAAAAGAGAGAACCTTACATCCATCACAAGCTGATAAATTGGCCACCAGGAAAATAATAGAGGGTGACAACCTTAAAGACCTAAATGCAGCTGGGGTTCATGGCATTGATTGTATCTATCATCCTGCATGGGACTGAAGCAAAGTGCTTGTGCTAACCCCTGAGATACTATCCAGTCCAGGGCCAGATTTTGCTTCCAGTAAAAACGGTGGCCTCAATGCAATTATTCTGGAGTGACATTGGTGTATTTGAGCAAAGAATAAGACTCAATGTTTATGACCTAGAAATCCCTACTGAGGCAGCATTGTAAAAGCATGAAAGGCAGTTCTCCAACGACTTCCCTCGGTGTGAGCTTGGAGGGCATCTTACTCTGATTTAAGAGGCTTATGCCTGAGGCTCTTACTCAGTTTAATTCTTGACATCAGCTTTTAAAAAACTTTTTAATTTAAGGCCCATTATTGTCCTTTTTGGGGTCTCTTCTTAGCACAGGCAGGAATTGCTTAGGTAGATCTGGGGCATATCAAGACAACAATAACCCAAAGAAAATCTTCTTCCATAGAGAAGAGGCTCTTTCAGGGACAGATTTTCCATTCTCTTTGTTGCTGGATTGCATTGTTTGGTTGGTCACTTTGATGGGAGAATAAGACAGGAGGGAATCAGGAGCATTTCCCTCTGTCCCACTCAAACCAAAACTGGATTATTACAAGGTGGGATGTATTTCTTTGACAGCGGACACATCACTCAGAATATTTTTTGGCACATCTGTGCGCAGAGCCTCTAAAAATACCATGATTCTACTAGATGTAAGGCATACAGGCAGGACCTAGCGTCATTGCTTCAGGTGGCATTTTCTAATCAGTGTCCTAGCAAGATCCATGCTGAGACTAATATCAACAAGACACTTCGGATGTCTCGTCCCCTTCTGTCAACCCCCTACATTTTCTGAAGGCCTCTCTCCCCCCCATGGACATAGACCACTCCAGAGCCTGTCATCAAAATTCCTGCAGTGACCAGAAGGATTGCTGGAGAGCGATGCAAAAAATTCCCTCTCCTTTTTGTTATCGCCACAGAGCTCCTGGCCCTTCGTCCTTTTAATCTAGGAACAAGTGACTGAACTTTCATACTCCCTGTTGTGCTAATATTGGGTTGCCAATTTTCTCTTTTGTTTATTTATATTTCTGTACTTTTTCCAACATCATGCCAATTGTTTCCCATTCTGAGTGAGGCACCCAGATCTCTGTTTCTTTCTGTCACACGTTTAGTTAGAGAAAAATCAGCTGCCTTACTCATAGTAATCAAACAGTTTTACTATCCTGATACCTTTTTGGCTTTGTCTACTGCAATCGTATTTTTTCCCCTCATCTGAGTGTTGTTTTCTCTCCAGTGTTTCAGATGAATACCACAAGTAGGAAAAATAAATCTGTCTGGTTTGCTTCCAGATCAGTTTTTTTAATATATCTTATTATTATAGGTGGGCCATTTGGTGACACGGATACTGAGTTTGCCCAAACAACTCTGTCCATAAGGGTCATAATCAATTCCTCAGTCACTCAGGGCAGGGTTTGCATGGTGTGAAGTCTCTGAAGCACAAATCCACATACTGGAAACCTTCAAAGCCCACTGAAGTCAATGCGAGTCTTTCAGTGGACTTTGAATCTGGTCCTAAAATAAGAAGATTGTATAGCTCAGGGGTCGGCAACCTTTCAGAAGTGGGGTGCCAAGTCTTCATTTATTCACTGTCATTTAAGGTTTCACGTGCCAGTAATACATTTTAACGTTTTTAGACGGTCTCTCTCTATAAGTCTATATTATATAACTAACCTATTGTTGTATGTAAAGTAAATAATAGTGCAGCAAGGTGAGCGGGGGCCGGCAGCTGGTATCCCAGGCCAGCAGCGGGCGGAGTGGGGCCAGTGGCCAGGACCCCGGCTGGCAGGGGGCCGGTGGCTGGAACCCCAGACTGGCTGCAGCCTGAGCGGGGCCGGCGGCTGGTATCCCAGGCCAGCAGCGGGCTGAGTGGGGCCGGCGGCTGGGACCCCTTCCGTCTGCCGGCTCCTGCCAGCCGGGGTCCCCGCCACCGGCCCTGCTCAGCCCACTGCCAACCTGGGGTTCCGTTCATCCAGGCCGGCAGCAGGCTGAGTGGGACCAGCAGCCGGGACCCTGGCTGGTAGCAGAGTGCCACTAAAAATCGGCTCGCATGCCGCAGGTTGCCGACCCCTGGTATAGCTGCTTCATTCATTGAGGAACATCCGTCCTCTGCACTCACTGAGGCAGGGGTCCTGGGGTAAAAGTACTAAGGGATCATGTAATTAAATACTGTATCATAATGCATGTGCATAAGAGGACAGAGTTAAGGTTGCATGGGAAATGTAAATGTTGGTGTTACCTAACATATGAGTGCTTTGAATATTCAAATATAATTTTTGTATGTCATTAATTATAACAACTCTTTATTCTTCTATAGTGCCTTTCATTCAGAGGTATCAAACTGTTTAAACAAATATTCATTAATGAGCTTCGCAATGTCCTTGCAAGGCAGGGAAGTGTTCCCATTCTCATCTTACCATGGGGGCACACAGAAGTTAAGGGACAGCTGTTGCGCACATTGAATTCCATGAGCCCTTTACCATTGACTCTCATGGAGCTTGCAGGCTAAAAACAGTAGCGTAGCTGCAGTAGCATGGGCAATGGCAGGATGTACAACCCCTGCCTGAGCCCCGTAGGTACGTACTTGCGGCAGCTAACCCATCCTTCTGCTGCCTCTGCTACTGCAGCTATTTTTAGCACGCCAGCTCTATAAGTGTGTCTACACACGAGCAGGGACTCACCCCCTAAGCTCATCACGGAGATGTAGCCTGACAGTGAGTCAGTGGCAGAACTCTTGAATCCCGTCCCTGTGCTCGAACCGTGCTTCTTTCCAATTTATTAATCTTAACCTTGATAAACTTTCTGGCCTAGACGTAATCACCCTCGGATGACTTGGAATTTGGCAACAGATCATTGAGCCATTACACGCCTATTTGCAAAATTAATTTGCTGTGGCACAGTGCCATGAATGCTGCGACTTGAGCCGAAAAGAGCACAGCTCCATATATAAAGAAAAGTTATCATAATGTGTCAATGCAATCAAATATATCAAATATATCAAATGTGAAAAGAATGGGAACATTGTACCAATGTGCCAGTCTTATAACAGGAGTTTGCTCTGAACATGTTACCAGATGAAGCAGAGCAGACATTTACAGGGAATGAGTGTTTGAACACAAACACCATGGGGGCTGGCATATCTTGCCTTTGGAACACTTTGGAGCTAATTGGATGCTTCATTTGTTGTATAAATGCCACTAAGCAATTAAACTCCTGAATAACTGGGTTGCTGGAAGGGATCTGCTGGGCAGACAGCTCACTTCACAACCTCACCACCTATCAAGACAATGTAATTTTTTACACTTCCGTATGCGTTCTCTATCCCAAGAAAGTCTCATCTGCTCAACCTGCTGCCATGGGCTATTAGAGCATGTTTTGAAAGGATGCTTGTGCCTACGCATACCCAGCAACCACCACACATCCACATGGTGCCTCTGCCAATTATTTGTGTGAATTGCTGGGCAGGTATAAAAATCAGAACTGCATGTGGGGCCAAGGTGTGGGTATGCACACATTTCAGTGGCACACACAGCATTAGGATTTTGTAAAGGGCTTTCTATCTGCCACCCACTCCTCCCTCAGAGTCCAAGCAGTTTTAAGTGGCATCCCATCACTATTTTTCCTGTAGATACTACAACAGGGGTTCTCAAACTGGGGGTCGGGACCCCTCAGGGGGTCGCAAGGTTATTACATGGGGGGTCACGAGCTGTCACCCTCCACCACAAACCCCACTTTGCCTCCAGCATTTATAATGGTATTAAATATATTTAAAAGTGTTTTTAATGTATAAGGGGGGTCACACTCAGAGGCTTGCTGTGTGAAAGGGGTCACCAGTACAAAAGTCTGAGAACCCCTGTGCTACAAGGAATTAGATGGAAACCTGACAACTCATCGCACCACGCCTCATCCATTGAAAAGCCCATCCTCAACAACATGGTGTTTGCATCCTAAAGTAAGGTGTACTACGGAGATTTGAGCACACCCAGGCTTTGAAACTGTGGCCCTTAAATTGCAGCACAAATCAGTCCCAAAACACAAAACAAACCACAGTGGAGACCAGAGATGGACAAAGTCAGCAACAGCCACTAGCAGCAACTTCCAGAGTCTTTGCAAATCCTATCATATCCGGCAAAATGCATTTAGCATCATGTTGCTTTTACTTCCACTCCTGCTGCGGCTATGTCCAGCGTGGGGAACTGTCCAGCAAAGATCTGCCCTGAACAGTATTATGGTGTCATGCTACTCAATATAAACCAAAGAGAACCAATATTATTGAAGAACATCATAGCTGCATTATCCTTTCCTCCAGTTTAAAAGAGCA